TGAAAATACAATCTTTTTGTTTCCAAAGTCTACATCTCATTTGTGGGCATTGAAAAACCTGTGTGTGGGCATTCATAACAATGCCAATGTTTTCAACACTCCCCCTTAGATGTCCACATATCAACATCAGTTGCCTCGTTAAAACCTAATTGGAAAAACCCAGTGGGAAAAAACCATAACAAAGGAAAAAGAGTACAACTTTACTTAGATTGTTGATATAGTGTTAAATATGCTTATGTTGACTCATTAAAACCTTGATAGGAAAAACCCAATGGGAAAAATCCTAATCGAAGGAAAAAGAGTACAACATGCATGTATCATGGATGCTCTTCCTGATATATATCTCTTCATGATTCTGCATTCTTCAAATTTAGCTGTTTGGTAAGTTGACGTAATCCAATACTTGCATTATCTTTTGAAACATGCACTTTGGTAGAGATTTGGTGAACAAATTTGCCAGATTTTCATTGGAACGGATTTGTCTGACTTCAATAACTTTAGCCTTCTGAAGCTCATGTGCATTGAAAAACTTTGGAGATATATGTTTAGTCTTATCGCCCTTGATGAATCATTCATTCATTTAGGCAACACAGGTTGCATTATCTTTATGAATAACAGTTAGAGTGTCTATCTTTGAAGGTAAACCACATGAATTCCAAATATGATGGATCATTGATCTTAACTAAAAACATTCACGACTTGCTTCATGTAAAGCAAGTATTTCTGAATGATTTGAAGATGTAGCAACTAATGTTTGCTTTGTTGAGTGCCATGAGATAGATGTATCTTCATTCTTGAACACATATCCATTTTGTGAGCGGGCATTATGTGGATCAGAGAGAAAACCAGCATCTGCATATCCAACAAGGATCTGGTCATTTGTGGATTTCTTTGCTTTCATGTACCTCTATTTCTTCAAGTACATGTGTCTCGTCAAAGACATTTTCTTTTCTGAAAGTACAGAATCATGAATTGTAGATGTGTCATTCATTTTTTTTCTTGAATGATTTCATTTGGATTCAGTTGTGCCCTCGACTTTTTCTTTCAAGGGGCTGAATCTTTTGAACCTGGAGGTCTACCACCCTTCAGGCGTGCACCAGATAAATCATTCGCTACCACTTTATTTTATCCAACAAGGACATCAATTCTTACAGGTGCATTGCAGCTGGTATATGTGATTTTGTCACTTTCATAGCATCATTAAATGCATCTGGCGTTTGATTAGTAATACTTTGAAAATGAATGATCTTTTTCACTTCATTTTCACATTGAGTGCTACATGGATCAAAATGAGATAAGGTGAGAACAACCCATGTCAGCTCTTTCTGTTTTTCTGGAACGGTCTTCTCCCACTAACAAAGGGAATACTGTCTCATCAAAGTGACAATCAGCAAAACGAGCTGTAAACATATCACCTGTCAAAGGTTTCAAATATCTAATGATAAATGGTGAATCAAAACCCACATAAATTCCCAGTCGACACTGAGGTCCCATTTTAGTGCGTTATGGTGGTGCAATAGGTACATAAACAGTACAACCAAAAACTCGTAAATGTGAAATGTTTGGCTGATGCCCAAATACGAGTTGTATTGATGAGTATTGGTGGTTGGTTATAGATCTCAATCGAACCAATGATGTAGCATGTAAGATGACATGTCTCTATGCAGAAACTAGTAATTTTGTTTTCATAAGCAGAATGCGAGCTATTAACTAAAGCTGCTTGATCAATGTTTTTGCTCAACCATTTTGAGTATGGACATGAAGAACATGGTGTTCAACATCAATGCGCAATGTCATGCAGTAATCATTAAAGATTTGAGATGTAAATTCACCAGTGTTATCAAGTCGGATTGACTTAATGGAGTAATCTGAAAAATGTGCTCGTAACTTAATTATCTGAGCAAGAAGTCTCGCAAAAGCTACATTCTGAGTAGACAAGAGACAAACATATGACCATCGGGTAGATGTATCAACCAAAACCATAAAATATCGAAATGGTCCACAAGATTGTTGAATAGACCCACAAATATCTCATTGAATTCTTTGCAAAAATGATGGGGATTCAACATCAACCTTTAATTGTGATGGTCTAATTACCAACTTCCCTTGAGAACAAGCATTGCAAGGGTTATCATTTAAGATAGCAATGTGTCTGCTCAATAATGGATGTCCATTAGAGTTGGTAATGATTCTACGCATCATGACAAATCCTGGGTGACCTAGACGGTCATGCCAAAGCATGTAAACTTTTGAATCAATGAACTTTTGGTTCATGATAACATGTGATTCAATTGTCTTTATGTATGTATAATATAATTCACTCGTCAAACCACGCAACATCTCCAATATACGCTTCTGGGTATCATTGGAGGTAATGCATAGATACTCCACATTTTCTGCACTTTTTGTTTCAATGTAGTATCCTTCAAAAGTATATCTTTAAAACTCAACAAATTTCTAGTAGATCGAGTATCATACAACGCATTTTGTATGGACAATATTGTTCCATTCGGTAACATAATCTGGGCTTTTCCTGAGCCTTCAATCACATCTAATTGCTCTGATATTGTTGTTACCCTTACTTTTGTAAGCATCAATCTTGAGAAATACTTTCGATCTTGAAGTATTGTATGCGTGGTTGCGCTGTCTGCAAAACAAATATCTCTGCTATTTTTCATGTTTTGAAAATAACCATAACTTTTATCTATGCTATTTAAGTAAGGGAATCACAGTTAAAAGCAATTTATAACAGGAAATTTAAATGCCACTTTTATTGAATCTGAAATGCTAGTTTTTAAACTACAAGTTCAATATAATAAAAGGACATCAAACATCAATGATTCAATCGAACCAGTATACTTCATTTTCCCTTTCCACCATGAAGTCCGAGACCTCTAGGTGGGTTTTGTTCAACTGTCCTGATAAGTTGCACAATAGATCAAGTATATCCATTGGTTTAGTATGGTCGAGAAAATTGGTCTCGATATCCTTTTCCTTGAGAGAAGCTTGATACAAATCCACCAGATGTTTTGGGGTACGACAAGTACGCGTCCAGTGCCCATTGCCTCCACACCTATGGCATGCTCATTCAGAGTTTCTGGGAGCATTGTTCCTATGAGCTATGCCTTTATGGCGATTTACATTTTTAAAGTTTGGGCTTGAATTATGCCTCAGAATCTGGTTGTGAAACTGGACGCTATGATTCTTGCTTTTCCCTTCCACCATCTTTACATGTGGCCACGCCCTCGTTTATGATTATTGCCACTAAAGGATGTGGCGTTCACTTCAAGGGAAGCAGCATTCACTTATGGGAATGGTGCAGATCGAGCAGGTCGAGAATGATGATTTTTTAACAGGAGCTCATTTTTTTTGTTCAACAACCAGGAGCACAGAGGTCAACTAGTTGTATTCAGTGAAGCCTAGCGCTCTATACTGCTGCTAGAGAAGCACGTTAGAGGCATGAAATGTGCTGAAAGTCTTTTCCAGCATATCTTCCTTAATAATGGTATCCCCGCAGAGCTTCATCTGAGAGGTAATTCTGAACAACGTAGAATTGTACTCGGCGACTGACTTGAAATCATGGATCCTTAGGTAAGTCTATTAATAGCGAGCCCTTAGAAGAATCACCGTTGTCTGGTGATTGTATCTATTTCTCAATGCCTTCCAGAAAGCTAACGGATCTTCAACCCTTAAGTACTCGCTCTTTAGTCCCTCATTAAGATGGCGACGAATAAAAATCATGTTCTTCGCCTGATCTTGAGGGGATGAGCTGCTTTCTTCCCTAATGGTATCCCCAAGATTCTCTGCTTACAGATGGATCTTGGTATCCGGTACCCAAATAAGGTAATTATTCTCAGTAATGTCCAGGGCAGCAAAATCAAGCTTTGCCAAATTCACCAATTTACTTTTCTAAAAGAAAATTGAGATGTATAAGAACTTGTAATAATATGTAATATGGGAGATGTAGTGTTAAAACTTCTGTTTCTTACAAATTTTTCATTTTGATCTTCAAGCCAAAATAATAAGCACTTGAAACTTTTGGCTCGAGATTTACATGATGAATGAGGAGAACGATTGTACCGCACCATTCTCAGAACATAGGATGGGCGATTATTCCGCACCACTTAAGTAGCAGGAAAATTTAAATTTGTAAAGCAGGGTGGACGATTATACCGCACCACCTAAAATTGCAATAAAATTAAACAGTAGACAAATTTTAAATATACAGGGTATGATGGCCGATAATACCGCTTCACCTAAAATTGCAGTAAAATTAGATATGCAATCTAAGATAAGCAAGGATACCGCACCATCATGGATTGCAGTAAGATTAAATTTGCAGTTCAAGATGGGCGATTGTACCGCACCATCTTGGATTGCAGTAAAATTAATATAAATAAACACTGGGTTAGTAATCAAGATCTACACCAAACAAGAAATCAAAGATATATGTAACTGTTAAGTTGAGAACTAAAAGCAGACATGGTGTAAATAGTTCTTCGCAAGAGTATATCCAACAGTTGAGGCATAGGAAGAAGATAAACAGTAAAATCCTTAAAGGAAACATTTTTGTTTTTTCTTTCGGCGAAGAGAAATGATGAATAGTTACATTTAGATAGTTGTGCTGGTAACGTATTATAAAATAGGTTAAAATTAAAGAGATAATATTTACTAGTGACAGAAGCGAAGCAGATGTAAAATATTACACTGTAATTATAGCATAAGAGGATGATAAATAAAGGAGATAGGAATAGATAATGATGTTATTATTCTTTCTTTTCTTTCTCTCTGTTCTTTTATTGCAGTCGAGTGCTCTATTTATAGATAAACTCGTATTATTATATGTTGAAATTTACATCACATAACTTTGAAAATACAATCATTTTGTTTTCAAAGTCTACATCTCATTTATGGGCATTGAAAAACCTGTGTATGGGCATTTATAACAATGCCAATATTTTCAACTTTTCTGATATTCATTTAAAATCATTTCATCAAAGTCTTAAATTATTGGATTTATAATATATAACGATAGCCGTCTTATCTGAATACATTGCCAGCATGTGACACGAAAAAGACATGACGCAGATTTGATATTAGCAACAGTTATATCGAATTCGAAGCATATGTTTGGGATTACAGATAAATTAACAAAAGTAAGAGGCCATGGCATCAACACAGAGATCTTCTAGTAATGTTCCACTGTAACGTTGCATCTCTCAACCGAGTAGAAAGTTGCAGCATCCACAAGCAACGTTTCGAACGTAGCGTATCCTCTCGCAAATCGAAACTTTCCGGTACCGGAGACCACCGAAACCTCCCTAACCGCCTCGAACTGCTTACTGGTTCCTTGTATCTCTAATGTGCTGCCATTGTACTTCTTGTTTGCGAACACAATCGATATCAACACATGAGTGTTGAGTCCGTCCAGCCCGGATGTCACATACACGCCTTGGCCTCGCCCGACTACGGCTGAGTTTAGATCCGGTGTTGCGGTTAACGGATCATCAGTCACGTAAACTGTTCCGAACTGAGTGAAGGTCCAAAGTTTGCCGGCAATACCTGCAACTGGGATTACTGTGGTATTCGGACCGGCAACGAAGTCATGGAAGAACACGGTCAGTTTGGTTTCTTTGAGCTGACTTCTTGTAGCACCGGCCGAAAAAGCGGCAAAGGTTAGAACTAACAGCAACTTTGCTATGAAGTTCAATGCCATTGGAGTAGGCAGGAAGATGAAGGATGTAGAGAAGTTTTATTGCGTTGCGATTTTCTCAGTTGGTTTCTATTCTATTTATAATAATCGGGTTCTTGAACATTAATCCTTACAAAAGATTAAAATTAAAAAAAAAAAAAAACCTAATGTTAGATTACATATTCAATTTAATCCCTTGAAGTATACTTTTATCAAAATTTATATTCAATTGTTGTCATTTAAATGTGTATTTTTATTTAATCTCTCCACATTGAATTTTAATTTAATTAATATGCACATATTTAGTTCTTTAATTGTAAATGAACATAAATGAGAAAATATTAAAAGAAATTTGTGATACAAAAGTATATAAATACATAAGCGTACGGAAATGACTGTGCCAAAATATATATAATTGACTTTTTTGTACCGAAATATTTGTACCTACATGATTGTACCGAAATATATTATAATAAACCTAAATATATGTATTGAAATGTATTATATTGAATTAATCTACCTAAATGTCAAATCGAAATGTATGTACCAAAATACATGTATCGAAATATAGTATATTGAATTAATGTACCTAATAGTTAATACTCAATTGTGTGTACCAAAATGTACGTACTAAAATGCATTATATTTAATTAATGTACCTATATATTTGTATCGGTGGATATACCAAAATATTCAAATGTATTGATGTACCTAAATGAAGAATATACAAAATTGTTATCGGAATATATATTATAAAAAAATAGTTGCCTAAATGTAGAAATTAAAATATATTATGATGAACAAAATGAAAATGAAAATGAAATGTAATTAATACAATAAAATAGGAATAAAAAAATAAATAAAATATCAAAATATAACTAATAGATGAGATTAAATGTACTAGGGACTAAAATTTGATTTTAATATTACATAAAGTTATAGTCTAAAACTCATCTTTTTTAAGGATTAAGATGAAGTTTTATATATAATTATATCACTAACGAGAAATGATAGCTCCCTACGTATGACTTTCTATCTTCATTTTTATATGACAAAATGGAAATTGTATAAGCACCAAAAAGTCTACTGCCAGTGCTTGCAGAGATTTTTAGTGTGCTCGAACACGTAGTGGTACATCACATATCATTATTAAAGTGGAGAAAAAATTATTCTTTGCCAAATGTTGAAGAAGTTGAGATTTCACCATAAATCAATTGGCAATATGAAGAGCAGCTCAACCTCTTCTAAGTTTATGAGGGTATTTCTTCACGTTAATGTGAGATTCATTCTCAACAAAAATCCTCCACTTATGTAATGATATGTGGTGTATTGTAACATCCCACATCGCCTAGGGGAGTGGATCCTGCAAGCCTTATATGTGTATTCCCATCTCTACCTAACACGAGACCTTTTAGGAGCTCACTGGCTTCGGATTCTATGGAAACTCCGAAGTTAAGCAAGTAGCGCGCGAGATCACTTCTATGATGGGTGACCCAATGGGAAGTTCTCGTGTGAGTTCCCAGAAACAAAACCGTGAGGGCGTGGTCGGGGCCCAAAGCGGACAATATCGTGCTACGGTGTTGGCCAGCACGGCTCGATTCAGGGTCCTAGTGGACATTCCAGTTCGGGGTGTGTCAATTTGGTATCGGAGCCTAACCCTAGTCGTGGTGTGCCGACGAGGATGTCGAGCCCCTAAGATGGGTGGATTGTAACATCCCACATGGTCCAGGAGAGTGGATCATGTAAGCTTTATATGTATATTCTCATTTCTACCTAGCACGAGGCCTTTTGGGAGCTCACTGACTTCAGGTTCCATGGGAACTCCGAAGTTAAGTGAGTAGCGCGCAAGAGCACTCCCATGATAGGTGACCTACTGGGAAGTTCTCGTGTGAGTTCCCAGAAATAATATTATGAGGGCGTGATCGGAATACAAAGCAAACAATATCGTGCTATAATGATAGAGCATGCCCAGGATGTGATGGACCCCGGGCCAGAATATGACATGTATCCCATATTTTGGGCGCATTGAAAAACCTCTCAGACCCTTGAAGCTGGCTCGAATCAGATGATAGTCAACTATTGGTAATGCATAATCTAATAGGGATTACTGTTCTTAACCGCAACTCTTTGGAAGTAATTTTTTATATTTTTTTATTTTTACTTCTTTTATTTTTATTTTTATTTTTTTTATGTTTGGAAGTATTTTTAAGATAACTAAACTAGCTATCAGCCCTATTTGGATTTGAACTCTCCATTCTACAAATCTTTAAGGCTTGTTTGGTATTTTATATATTTAAAAGTTTTGATCCTTTTTAAAAGAGGTATTTATCAATCTACCTCACGAACTTGTATAAATTTGCCAATTCTTCTCCGAACTTTAATTTGGATCGATTATCCTCCTGAATTTTTATAATTAACCAATTTCTTCTGAACCGTTATAAATAGCCAATTTTTCCCAGTCATTAGATTTTAAAATTTTTCATCCAATGTTTCATTCTTTTTGCCCTCATACAGCTGTCATGTGTTATTTGCGTGATCAAAATGAATAGAAAATTAACGTCATGGGGAAAATTGGTTATATAAAATTCAATGGGAAAATTGACTAATTTTAAAAATTCAATAAAGTAATCGAATGAAGTGAAAATTGTAAAAATTGACAGCTCCATACAAGTTTGAAGATATATCAACAAATATGCCTTCTTAAAAATTAGTTTAATTAACTTCTTTTAAGTAAAGTTTTTTATAAAACTTAAAAACTTATTTGGTAGTTAACTTCCAAAACTACTTTGAACACTACCGTCCAGGAACAATATTGGGAATTAATCCATTGGAACAGCTCATCAACTTTATTTTAAGTCAACAGTCCGAGCTGAGTTCGGATCCAGCGTCTCCGTTAACAGATCACCAGTCAAGAAAGCTATTCCAAATAAACGAGTGAAGAACCAAAGCTTGCTGGCAATACTTGCATCTCGGATCACTGATGGAAGAACATGGCCAGTTTGGTTTCTTTAAGCTTACTTCTTGTAGCTCCAGCCGAAAAAGTAGCGGAGGAAGCGAACGAAGTTTAATGCCATTGGACGATAACTAGTAGGCAATGAAGGGTCTGTTTGGTGGGGCAGTTGGGATGAGTTATGACCAGTTTAAATAGACTTTAGTCCAGTTAATTGTTTGTTGTGTCAAAATAGAAATTGATGAAACATAGTAGGATATGATGGGTTATGAATTCACAATAAAGTGAATTATCTAACTCATCCTCACACACTAGTTATGATCGCACTGCGAGGCAACGACATTCAATCTTCCTCTCCTCCCTATAGACTTGAGTCTACTCAGTTGTTTGATTTTTTCTGTTTGTTTTGGTTGGATTGGAAAGACCGTAATTGGGAGAGATAGAGGGGGAGGAGAGAGGGTGAAGTGAGAGAGGGAGTGGGAGAACGCTCATCCTACATGATTGTACCGAAATACATTATAATGAACCTAAATATATGTACTGAAATGTATCATATTGAATTAATGTACCTACATGTCAAACCGAAATGTATGTACCAAAATGTGTGTATCGAAATATAGTATATTGAATTAATGTACCTAAAAGTTAATACTCAAATATGTACCAAAATGTATGTACTGAAATGCATTATATGGAATTAATGTACCTATATATTTGTATCGATGGATATACCGGAATATTCAAATGTATTAATGTACCTAAATGAAGAACATACAAAATTGTTGTCAGAATATATATATTATAAAAAAATTAGTTGCCTAAATGTAGAAATTAAAATATATTATGATGAATGAAATGAAAATTAAATTTAAATGTAATTAATTCATTAAAATAGGAATAAAAAGATAAATAAAATATCAAAATATAACTAATAAATGAAATGATTAAATGTACTAGGGACAAAAATTAGATTTTAATCTTACATAAAATTATAGTCTAAAACTCATTTTTTTTAAGCATTAAAATGAAGTTTTCTATATAATATATCACCAGCGAGAAACGATAGCTCCCTACGTATGACTTTCTATCTTCATTTTTATATGACAAAACGGGAATTGTATAAGCACCAAAAAGTCTACTGCCGGTGCTTGCAGAGATTTTTTAGTGTGCTTGAACACGTAGTAGTACGTCACATATCATTATAAAAGTGGAAAAAAAAATATTCTTTGCCAAATGTTGAAGAAGTTGAGGTTTCATTATAAATCAATTAGTAATATGGAGAATAACCCAACCTCTTTTAAATTCATGAGGGTGTTTCCTCATGTCAATATGAGATTTATTCTAAACAAAAATTCTGCACTTATGAAATGACATGTGATGTATCCCATATTTTAGGCACGTTGAAAAACCTTTCGGATGCTTGAAGCTAGCTCGAATCAGATGATAGTCAACTATTGGTAATGCATAATCTAATAGGCATTACTGTTCTTAACCGCAACTCTTTGGAAGTAGTTTTTTTTTTTTTTTTTTTTTTTTTTTTTCAAATGTTTGGAAGTATTTTTAAGATAACTAAACTAGCTATTAGATTCAAGCCCTATTTGAATTTGAACTCTCCATTCTGCAAATCTTTAGAGCTTGTTTTGTATTTTATATATTTAAAAGTTTTGATCATTTTTAAAAGAGGTATTTATCGATCTGCCTCACGAACTTGTATAAAGCTACCAATTCCTTTTCGAACTTTGTCATGTGTTGTTTGCATGATCAAAATGGATAGAAATTTAAGATCATGGGGAAAATTGGTTATATAAAATTTAATGGGAAAATTGGCTAATTTTAAAAATTTAGTAAAGTAATTGAATAAAATGAGAGTTGCAAAAATTAATAGCTCCATACAAGTTTGGAGGTATATCAACAAATATGCCTTCTTAAAAATTAGTTTAATTAATTTCTTTTAAGAAAAGGTTTTTATAAAACTTATAAACTTATTTGGTAGTTAACTTCGAAAACTACTTTGAACACTACCGTCCAAGAACAATATTAGGAATGAATCCATATCCAGTGTCTCCGTGAACAGATCACCAGTCAATAAAGCTATTCCAAATAAACGAGTGAAGAACCAAAGCTTGCTGGCAACACCTGCATCT